AGTGGAAATTCTGATATTTCAGAGCTTTTCCCGAGCTATCCGGAATCTGTCAGACGATAGCCGTTGCATAGCTTGTGTCACCAGCCAGGAAGCAGATCTCTCCTGTCTTGCCCACTGCTCCCCTCAGCAGCGTATTTCAGTCAATCTGCCTATTCTGCTCCCTACTCTGTCTCTGGTTATCCTCTCATCCCCTCACCCCCATCTCTGGCCATACCTCAGTTCTTGCATGCTTACATAAATAAATCTTTAAAAAAAAAAAATAAGGTGAATCTTAAACTGTTGGAAAGGAATTTACATTTAAGAATTCTTTGAGTACTCCTATTTCCTCTGCCTCTACACTTTTGCAGACTTTTTTTTTTTTCTTTGCTGCAGCCCTAGCATGTACAGGCTTCTCCTCCCTAACCCATTTCACAATTCTTATCCTAACTCGGCTATTGCTTTTCTTCTTTTATTGTACTATTTGTGGTAACATATATATAACATAAAATTATTCGTACTAGCTAATTTTGATTGTATGATTTGACCATGCTAATCACATTTGAAATGTTGTGCAACCATCACCATTACCTATTCAAAAAAGTTTCAATACCTGAAACAGAAATTCTGTATGCTCTAAGCAATTACTACTCCCTTTTCCCTCCCCCACAGCTCCTGGTAAGCTTTGGCCTATTTACTCTATGAATTTGCCCAACTATCTATTTATATATAGGTCAAATAATATTTGCCCCTTTATATCTGGCTTATTTCACTTAGCACATTTTCAAGATCCATCCATGTTTTAGTTCTTCATTCCTTTTTATGGTTGAATAATATTCCTTTGGGTGTATAGGTCACCTTTTATTTATCCATTCTTCTGTTGACAAGCACTTGGGTTGTTTCCACCTTTCAGTTATGGGTTTGCAAGTACCAAAGGCCCTGCTTTCAATTTTTTTGGGGGGGTATATATTTAGGAGTAGAACTGTTGAATCACATGACAATTCTATGTTTAGCTTTTTGAGGAACTACCAAACTATTTTTCACGGCAACTTGAACCTTTTTACATTCCCACCAACAATGTATGAGGGCTCCAATTTCTCCACAACCTTGCCAACATTTGTTCTTTTTCTTTTTTTAAATGATAGTATCTTAGTATGTGTGAAATGGAATCTTATTGTGGTTTTGTTTACACTTCTTTAAAACTAATGATGTGGAGCCTCTTTCCATGTGTTTATTTAGCCATTTGTGTGTCTTCTTTAGAGAATGTCTACTCAAGTTCTTTGCTCATTATTTAATAGCATTGTTCCTTTTGTTGTTGCTTGACCTCCTTCCTTGGACCCAGACCAAGAACCACCTTTTCTGGACAGTCTTCCTTGAACCTCACCACCCTCCCAAGATTCTAAGTACGAGGTCTTTATCAGATATATGATTTGCCACTATGTTCTCCCATTCTGCAGGTTATCTTCTCACTTCTTTATTGTGTTCTGTGACACATGAAATTTCTAAGTTTTAAGGAAACTCAACTTTTCCATTTTTCTTCTTGTTGGTTTTCTTTTGTTGTTTGAGAATTCATTGCCAAATCCAAGTCCATGCAGATTTGACTGTTTTCTTCTAAGAGCTCTATAGTTTTTAAATCTAGATCTCTGATCCATTTTGAGTTTGTTTTTAGATATGGAATAAGATACAGATCTAACTTCATTCAAATACTACTCATGTAGATATTTAATTTTTCCAGTACTATTTGCACTGTTGAATAGTCCTGACACTTGAGTCAAAAATCACTTGACAATCAGTGTGACATGTTATCTCTTGACTTTTTATTGTATTCCATTAGTCTTTGTCTAGCCCTATGATAGCACCACACTGTTTTGATTATTGAAGTTTTGAGTAAAATTTGAAATCCGGAAGTGTGAGTCCTCTAACTGATCTTTCTCAAGATTGCTGGAGTTACTCAGGTCCTTGAAATTTTCTGTGAATTTTAGGATGAATTTTTCTATTTCTCCAAAAACATACCATTGTTAGATTATTTATTTGAGATTTTCTTTTCTGCTGTAGGTGTTTACAGCTATATATTTCTGCTGAGCACTGCTGTCACTGCACCCTCCAGGTTTTGACATGTTGCTTTTATTTTCAATCCTT